CAGCTTAAATAAAAGGCTCTTGTATAATTTTAAGGTTTGCAATATCGTATTATAAAAACTTTCACATTTGTACTGTATATATCAGTTTTATTGTTCCCAAAACGGGTTACAATTTATCTCATACTTTTTTTTTCAATTCTTTAAGCAATCTCTTGTAAATCGGAACATAAGATACGGATTGGGATTTCTCTCGCTAATTATAAGTCGCTCTTATATAATTACGCGTTACTTTGTACTGAATTCGTCCAAATTAATCATTATTTGATTAAATGGACTTCAACAACTAATCACATTGCATTTTATACTGTTGTGCATGTTATTTATACAATAGATATAGTTGATACAACAAATTTTCTAACATTTCCTAATCTTAAAGAATTGCTTTTAAGATACAAAGAGATATTTAACTCGTTACATCTTTTTCTTCTGATAAATGATATAAAATTTTGAAATTTCGTTTATTTAAAACAAAAATGAAAAAATTTTTATGAAAAAATTTGAAGTATTTTTGGTATATTAATGTCAAATAATTATATGATACAAGTAAATGTCAAAAGAAATAATAGAAAAAATTAAGGAATATTAGTACTTTAGAACATTAGTAAAGTTTGTTATATAAGTAAATTATAATCACTAATACCACATATTGTAGTTAGAATTGTTATTAATACATATTAATAGCAATTCTGCTATGCATTATTAGATGTACTTTTCAAATCGTAAATTAATTTTAATAAATTGCTACGTTTTTTCGAAACCATTTCTGGAACGATACTACAATCACAATCGCTTACTTTAGAATTTTTTATAGCGTGTCTAGATATTATATCTGCTAAACATAAAACATATAAACCGCAATCGTAGTTATTATTTTGTTGTGGACAATCCATTTCAATATATTTTCTCTCTTGTTTCTCAAGAAAATATTTTGTCACTTTCCGTGCAAGTTTTTTCGCGGAGAAGCCATTAATACCGCTTGACGAATCGAAGTGATAACACATTTTTTCAATACGAGAATATACTAATAAACTCCAATGCGAGCCACCTGCCTCGTTGCTATCACAATCATTAAGAGGAAAGAATATAAAATCATAATTTGTAGCTTCAATAGGATCCAGAAATATATTATATTGTGAAGAATCCTGCATCTTTAATAACTGAGCTACTTCGGGGCCGATAAATAATAACTGGCTTTTATTATCCTTCCTATATTGTTGATTTAGATATTCGAAATAGAATCCTATTATAATGTCATTAAGCCAGTCATTTCTCTCCAGTAATGCAACATCCGATGTTCTGAGTAAGTAGTCATGATAACTTAACACAATATCATTCTTGTATGGATTCGTCGGATGAGCATGGGATAAGTGCTTTGAATTTGCAGGCAAAACCGGCATAGTACTAAAATCAGAAATATAAAATTTAATGTACATATTTATCTGAAAAAATATAACGATAAAAAATAAACTTGAATATTTTATTCTGAAATAAAGAAACTTATTTATCCTTAAACTTAAATATATATCAATAAACAAAACATTAGGCAAAGTACGCTAGCAACTAGCTAGAAGATTCAAACAAAATACATATTGCGAAATA